TACACTGTCTGGTGGTACACTGTCTGGTACTACACTGTCTGGTAGTACACTGGTATACTGTCTGGTGGTACACTGTCTGGTAGTACACTGGTACACTGTCTGGTGGTACACTGTCTGGTGGTATACTGTCTGGTAGTAAACTGGTACACTGTCTGGTAGTACACTGGTACACTGTCTGGTAGTACACTGTCTGGTAGTACACTGGTACACTGTCTGGTAGTACACTGGTACACTGTCTGGTAGTACACTGGTACACTGTCTGGTAGTACACTGGTACACTGTCTGGTGGTACACTGTCTGGTGGTACACTGTCTGGTACTACACTGTCTGGTAGTACACTGGTATACTGTCTGGTGGTACACTGTCTGGTAGTACACTGGTACACTGTCTGGTGGTACACTGTCTGGTGGTACACTGTCTGGTAGTACACTGGTACACTTTCTGGTAATACACTGTCTGGTGGTATACTGTCTGGTAGTAAACTGGTAAACTGTCTGGTAGTACACTGTCTGGTAATACACTGTCTGGTAGTACACTGTCTGGTAGTACACTGTCTGGTAGTACACTGTCTGGTAGTACACCGGTACACTGTCTGGTAGTACACTGGTACACTGTCTGGTAGTACAATGGTACACTGTCTGGTAGTACACTGGTACACTGTCTGGTGGTACACTGTCTGGTGGTACCTGTCTGGTAGTACACTGTTACACTTTCTGGTAATACACTGTCTGGTGGTATACTGTCTGGTAGTAAAGTGGTACACTGTCTGGTAGTACACTGGTACACTGTCTGGTAGTACACTGTCTGATAGTACACTGTCTGGTAGTACACTGTCTGGTAGTATACTGGTACACTGTCTGGTAGTACACTGGTACACTGTCTGGTAGTACACTGTCTGATAGTACACTGTCTGGTAGTACACTGGTACACTGTCTGGTAGTACACTGTCTGGTAGTACACTGTCTGGTAGTACACTGTCTGGTAGTACACTGGTACACTGTCTGGTAGTACACTGGTACACTGTCTGGTGGTACACTGTCTGGTAGTACACTGGTACACTGTCTGGTAGTACACTGTCTGGTAGTACACTGTCTGGTAGTACACTGGTACACTGTCTGGTAGTACACTGTCTGGTAGTACACTGGTACACTGTCTGGTAGTACACTGGTACACTGTCTGGTAGTACACTTGTACACTGTCTGGTAGTACACTGGTACATTGTCTGGTAGTACACTGCCTGGTAGAACACTGGTACACTGTCTGGTAGTACACTGGTACATTGTCTGGTGGTACACTGTCTGGTAGTACACTGGTACACTGTCTGGTGGTACACTGACTGGTAGTACACTGGTACATTGTCTGGTGGTACACTGTCTGGTAGTACACTGGTACATTGTCTGGTGGTACACTGTCTGGTAGTACACTGGTACACTGTCTGGTAGTACACTGTCTGGTAGTACACTGTCTGGTAGTACACTGTCTGGTAGTACACTGTCTGGTAGTACACTGTCTGGTAGTACACTTTCTGGTAGTACACTGTCTGGTAGTACACTGTCTGGTAGTACACTGTCTGGTAGTACACTGTCTGGTAGTACACTGGTACACTGTCTGGTAGTACACTGTCTGGTAGTACACTGGTACACTGTCTGGTAGTACACTGTCTGGTAGTACACTGGTACATTGTCTGGTAGTACACTGCCTGGTAGAACACTGGTACACTGTCTGGTAGTACACTGGTACATTGTCTGGTGGTACACTGTCTAGTAGTACACTGGTACACTGTCTGGTGGTACACTGTCTGGTAGTACACTGGTACATTGTCTGGTGGTACACTGTCTGGTAGTACACTGGTACATTGTCTGGTGGTACACTGTCTGGTAGTACACTGGTACACTGTCTGGTGGTACACTGTCTGGTAGTACACTGTCTGGTAGTACACTGTCTGGTAGTACACTGTCTGGTAGTACACTGGTACACTGTCTGGTAGTACACTGGTACACTGTCTGGTAGTACACTGTCTGGTAGTACACTGTCTGGTAGTACACTGGTACACTGTCTGGTAGTACACTGTCTGGTAGTACACTGTCTGGTAGTACACTGCCTGGTAGAACACTGGTACACTGTTTGGTAGTACACTGGTACATTGTCTGGTAGTACACTGCCTGGTAGAACACTGGTACACTGTCTGGTAGTACACTGGTACATTGTCTGGTAGTACACTGGTACACTGTCTGGTGGTACACTGTCTGGTAGTACACTGTCTGGTAGTAGTCTGGAGGTACACTGTCTGGTGGTATACTGTCTGGTGGTAGTCTAAACACGTGTCCAAACTATTTGATTTGTTGTCTACTGATGTGGTGTAACAATGCTCCCGTCCAAATATCTTTCGTGATATCTTTATTTCTGATCCTGTCTCTTCTAGTTGCAGTTATGATTCGCCGCAGACATTTTAAACAGACTACACATAAACTTAGACTACACATAAACTCAATCTTCACATAAACTCAGACTACACATAAAACTCAGACTACACATAAACTCAGACTACACGTAAACTCAGACTACACATAAACTCAGACTACACATAATATCAGACTACACACAAACTCAGATTACACACAAACTCAACTCAGACTACACATAAACTCAGACTACACATAAACTCAGACTACACATAAACTCAGACTACACATAATCTCAGACTACACACAAACTAAGAATACACATAAACTCAGACTACACACAAACTAAGAATACACATAAACTCAACTCAGACTACACACAAACTAAGAATACACATAAACTCAACTAAGACTACACATAAACATAGACTACACATAAACTCAGACTACACATAATCTCAGACTACACACAAACTAAGAATACACATCAACTCAACTCAGACTACACATAAACTCAGATTACACATAAACTCTGACTACACATAATCTCAGACTATACATAAACTAAGAATACACATAAACTCAGACTACACACAAACTCAACTCAGACTACACATAAACTCAGACTACACATAGACTCAGACTACACATAAACTCAGACTACACATAATATCAGACTACACACAAACTCAGATTACACATAAACTCAACTCAGACTACACATAAACTTAGACTACACATAAACTCAGACTGCACATAATCTTAGACTACACACAAACTAAGAATACACATAAACTCAGACTAGACACAAACTCAGATTACACATAAACTCAACTCAGACTAGACTTAAACTCAGACTACACATAAACTCAGACTATACATAATCTCAGACTACACACAAACTAAGAATACACATAAACTCAGACGACACACAAACTAAGAATACACATAAACTCAACTCAGACTACACATAAACGCAGACTACACATAAACTCAGACTACACATAATCTCAGACTACACATAATCTCAGACTACACACAAACTAAGAATACACATAAACTCAGACTACACACAAACTCAGACTACACATAAACTCAGACTATACATAATCTCAGACTACACACAAACTAAGAATACACATAAACTCAGACTACACACAAACTAAGAATACACATAAACTAAACTCAGACTACACATAAACTCAGACTACACACAAACTAAGAATACACACAAACTCAACTCAGACTACACATAAACTCAGACTACACATAAACTCAGACTACACATAATCTCAGACTACACACAAACTAAGAATACACATAAACTCAGACTACACACAAACTCAGATTACACATAAACTCAACTCATACTACACATAAACTCAGACTACACATAAACTCAGACTACACATAAACTCAGACTACACATAAACTCAGACTACACATAATATCAGACTACACACAAACTAAGAATACACATAAACTCAACTCAGACTACACATAAACTCAGACTACACATAATCTCAGACTACACACAAACTAAGAATACACATAAACTCAGACTACACACAAACTCAGATTACACATAAACTCAACTCATACTACACATAAACTCAACCTACACATAAACTCAGACTACACATAAACTCAAACTACATATAATCTCAGACTACACACAAACTAAGAATACACATAAACTCAGACTACACACAAACTAAGAATACACATAAACTCAACTCAGACTACACATAAACTCAGACTACACACAAACTAAGAATACACACAAACTCAACTCAGACTACACATAAATTCAGACTACACATAAACTCAGACTACACATAATCTCAGACTACACACAAACTAAGAATACACATAAACTCAGACTACACACAAACTCAGATTACACATAAACTCAACTCATACTACACATAAACTTAGACTACACATAAACTCAGACTACACATAAACTCAGACTACACATAATATCAGACTACACACAAACTCAGACTACACATAAACTCAACTCAGACTATACATAAACTCAGACTACACATAATCTCAGACTACACACAAACTAAGCATACACATAAACTCAGACTACACACAAACTCAGATTACACATAAACTCAACTCATACTACACATAAACTCAACCTACACATAAACTCAGACTACACATAAACTCAAACTACATATAATCTCAGACTACACACAAACTAAGAATACACATAAACTCAGACTACACACAAACTCAGAATACACATAAACTCAACTGAGACTACACATAAACTCAGACTACACATAAACTCAGACTACACACAAACTAAGAATACATATAAACTCAGACTACACACAAACTAAGAATACACATAAACTCAACTCAGACTACGCATATACTCTCTTTGAAATCCCTGACGCCGTAATTGTACTGCAGCCAGGGGACTGAACTCCGACAAAGCGGCCGTCGCCGTCCAAGTAGCGACCGTTATTGCAAGAAGAACCGAAAACGCTCTTCATACTAAAGGTACTACACAGGAAACAAGGGGCATCGTTATAAGACACACATGTGACTTTTAGCCTTAAACATTTCCCTACTCACCTTGGACTTCCTCAGGCAGACAATAACGATGGCAATGACAAGTGAAATCGTCATACAGAAGCTCTGAATTCCCAGGGGAATGCCTCGAGCCAGAAAGTCAAAAGTTACAATTGGCTCCTCACCCATATGTGTGGAAGGTGCTGAAGTCTGCATGACTAAACAGTTAAAGTCTGTCGTATAGTTAGAGCTGATGTTCAGGATATAATCCATGTACGCGTTTTCCACATCCTGGCCATCAAAGGCCTGGCTTGCGGTGCTGGACACCGGAAAATAGTAGCCGTTCTTACATGTGCACTCATAGCTTCCCACCCGAAGTCCCGCACTAGGGATATTCTTGCACTGTTCGAGAAACAGATGACATTACAATTATTATTTAAGTATCAATAGGCAGAAGTAACTGAGGAACTTACACACACTAAGTTAGGAGTGCTGGCGTAAATCTGACTCACTGCAGATAAGCTGATATTCTTCTTCTTATAGATCATGTTGTGTGGCGTTGGTAGCCACGTCTATCCACGACCTTCTGTCTCGTTTACTGTCAATCAGTTCTGATGCAGATAATCTTCTATGCTATGATGTCAAACTGTCGAGCACCTACCTCTGCATGTGTTGCCCTCCGACTTTTCCAACGTCGCGATGTATCCCAGGGGCGGCTAGAAAGGAAATGTTTACATGGTTTGGCATCAAGCCATGGACACATACAAATACTGGTTGGTTGGAAGTTGTACCCCACCAGAGCATCACACAAGCGATAAACACCCGGTGACACAAAGTGCCACCATGCGGATGAGGATCACCCGTGGAGAGGTCCCAAAAACCCATTTCAGCCGTTAGGCCATATCTATGGCTTGGCCATATTTATGTCCAGGCTATATTTAGGGCTTCCGGCAGAAGCCAGGATGGGGCTTCAAATAACAAAAATTGCATCCCATATGGGGACGACTTTTACGACTGAGAAAAAAAGAACACTAAATATAAATACTGACTGAATGAATGGTATAAAATTTTCATTTCAGATTCGACATACTCAAAATTATAAGCTTGTTTTTAGGAAGATGACATAGTGGTCCTATGTTTTTCCCGCCTACCAGAAAGTCTGACCATCATGAGATTACAAATTTCTAGGCATGATAGCAAGCCTACAAGGCAAATCCGAGACACCCCATTGACCTCTAAAGAAGTCACAACTGAGACACTCGTAACGGCTTCACGAGCCCCGAGGAAGAAAGCCCTGTGCGATAATATTTGAGCTGATATGGTCGTCTCCCCTGGCTTCCACTGTCATAGAGAGAAATGGTCGACTATCTGGATCAGCTGTTACCGTGTTCTGTTTAGACGTCCAGTTTAAAAGGTATTCTTGTGTATATTCGAACCTCATACAATGAGCCTGGCTCACATTTTGCGTCGTTCATCTTTTCCCTTTGAGTTGTATAGCCTACAATTATGATTCTTCTTCTCCCCCTGCTATTACCCAAGTGAAATGTTGCGGCGGAGAGGACAAGAGATGCAGTTTTCTATGTTAATTTTCTGCAGCACAGTGTAAATCGGTCTTCATTTCTCTAAAGTTACTCTTGATGCTATCTTTCTATATTTTGTGTCGTTTTCCCTTTCATCTGTGTACAATATATTTCTTTTAAGTGAATCTTGTAGGTAGAATTAGCGCAATATGGTGCGACTGCTAATCAGTTTGCACTTCTTGCTGTCCGTATCTACATGCTAGCACACAGGTCCGACCCATTCGTGCTCCGTCGTCCGATGCAGCAGCCATCTCTGTGTCTCCATGCTCAACGTACCCGGTAGTTGACTGGCACATCTTCTTTCTTCGCGCCACAACTGGTATCTGCATGCTTGTACTCATTTAATAATCAATTCCGTCCAACTCAAAGTTCATCATCTCTGACTCGTGCGTCTCATGAACGCAGTGCATTCAGTATGTCCGAGTTGTCTATACTTCTTTCCCCACTAATACACTGTAGACAAGCCCAGGTATCGGCTCTTTATTTTGCTTTCATCCCGGCGAGTCCCGGTGTGCACTGCCAAAAGATTTTCTTGAAGCGGGACTTCTGTAAGCTAACTTATTTTACTTGGAGTTGCCAGTTGGGATCTTCTTAAGCATACCCAATGAATCCATCGCTATCAATGCATGACTTGCTTTTTGTTCTGCCAGCCAGGCAAGAGCCTTTGTGACAATTGCTATCTACACTGTCCTTCTAAAAGTAGTTGAATTGGATGCCTGGCTTCCTTTTTTACTGTCCTCCCATTTAGTAACGCAGGCCGCACCCCGTGAATCACTAAGTCATCTATATAATTAAATCATTTTATACTTTGTTCTTAAACTACATAATCTTTAGTGGAGGGCTGTATGCTGTGTTTTGTGCCACATCGTGTAAATGGTAAATGCCTCATCTATGTGTTCACCAGTCAGCACTCAATGACGTGGCGACTATCATGTTGGTCGCCTTTATTTCATAGAATAGTTCATTGGTCTTTATTTTAAGCTGGTCCATAATGTCAGTTCCAGTCCATGGTTTCAGGGATCTACCCTAAAGTAGGGATTAGGGTTGGCGGGTATGGGCAGGAGGAAGAGATGGGCGATGAGAAGGAAAGATGCGAGATGGAGTAGGGAAAGACGGAAGAGGAGGAGATAAGAAATAACGAAAGCAAGAAAGAAATAAAGAAAGAAACAAAGAAGGACAGATAGAAAAGAAAGAAAGAAAGAAAGAAAGATAAGAAGAAAGAAAGAAAGAAAGAAAGAAAGAAGAAAGAAAGAAAGAAGATCAAAAAGAAAGAAAGAGAAAGAAAAAGAAAGAAAGAAAAGAAGAAAAAGAAAGAGAAAGAAAGAGAGAGAGAGATAAGAAAGAAAGAAAGGAAAGAAAGAAAGAAAGGAAAGAAAGAAAGAAAAAAAGAAAAGAAAGAAAGAAAGAAAACATAAAGAAAGAAAAGAAAGAAAAAGAAAGTAAGAAAGAGCAAGAAAGAAAGAAAAGAAAGAAAGAGAAAGAAAGAAATAAAGAGAGAAAGAAAGAAAGAAAGAAAGAAAGAAAGAAAGAAAGAAAGAAAGAAAGAAAGAAAGAAAGAAAGAAAGAAAGAAAGAAAGAAAGAAAGAAAGAAAGAAAGAAAGAAAAATTGAAAAGCTAACCATAATCAAGGGCAGAAAAAGAAAAGGGGGTGAAGGAACAAAAGGAAGAGTTGAAGAAGCAAAAAATAACAAAAGCAGAGAAAACATGTATCTGAACAAGTCTGATGGTGATGATAAACACACACACCGGTGCAGTTACATAGCCTAGCCTAAGCCGGCTGCACTCACCTCTGTGGTTGTTCGCCTGCAGCGGTGGGTGTCTGAGAAAAGAGACCCATCCTCTGCACACTGGTTGATCCTGATGGATTCAAAGTTAGCCTCCAACAACACCACGCCCCTGTGAAGATAAACATTTTATATTTTAAGCAAACTCAGAAAGAGAGTAGATAAATACAACGCAAAATGTGACTAGAAAGGGGATAACCGGGAGGCGCACAAATGCAGCCAAACATTTCGACCTACGTCGAAGTACCAAGTCAAATACAACCTGTTTCTCTTTTTCTAAACCAATCAGCACTTGGTGGGTGATGTGTTCAGCATCATGTCGACCGCCTTTACTTCCCAGGACTGCACCTGGTACCCACTCAAGGCTGGGTCGACCTGGGAGTCAAGGTCACTTTTAAAAAAAAAAGTCCCGCTCCGTCAGGACGCGAACCCACGACCTTCCGATCCGCAGGCGGGCGTCTAGTGGCCAACGCCACGGCGTCACCCGTAGACAACCCATTAGAATGTTGAAAAAAGAATCGACCTTACAGCACTCGTGACACTTCCATAAGCGCTCCTTCCCCATCTTCAGCAGCAAGCGTAGAGTTCCAGTTCCGATGGCACCAGTAAATGTCTCATTGAATACCCGTCTCGCCTTTCCTTTGAGTGTTGAGCGTCAGCCGAATCTGCTGGCGACTCCTCGCAGTGCCATTCTCCTCACACCGTAATGATCTATGTGTGCCTATGCACTGTTCACTGCCCTCCCAAAAGGTCCCCACAACATCTAGCTTGTGATACATCAATTCACCAGGAAGTGGTGCAGAACTGGCTAGTCTATCTGCCCGCTCGTGTCGATACACACCGGCATGAACTAGAGACAAAATCCAACGGTCACTAACTACACGGGACCTTTGCAGCGATGCTTGCCACTCTGCACGGAGCATGGTTGTCTGCACTTTTCTCAACATGCTCTGTGACTATTCAATTAGAAATACTCTATACCTCTGTAAATATATGGACAACCTGACAGTGCAGTGCTTAGTGGTACAAATATCTTGTATTCTTATCCGTAGCTGCTTTTGTTTATAAGCTCTTATTAACTTCGTTTTTGTTTGTTCTAATTTATAACTGACCTTGTCTCAGGTCGAATCAGCCTAAAATGGGCCAGGAAATGTTCTAGAAAATAAATTTGTCCTATGTGATGGTGACGAAATCACGGCAAAAGTGCCGATTTGTCTGTGAAAATATGGGTGTAGCACCATATGTCCTAAGGGACTCTTGTATGAAAGTGTTCCTTTAATTCCATCCCCCCCCCCCCTTTTCCCCCTTTTTTTTCTGTAACCGAATACAGTAAAAACAAACATTTCAATGTATTCATCGGGACTCAGGATGCATTTGCCAGAGAGGCAGTCTGTGTACAAGTTAACTATATCTGTAAAACACACGTACACATACAACTCAAGCTCTGTAATAAGATTTTACTTACTTTTCATTTACCCTATTAGAAGGCCTATTTTTAATGTATGAGGTAGCGGGTCACTGTGTCTCTATAAAAGTGTCAGTTACCTCTGAAGTGATGCTTGCCATTCTGCGTACGGTGCATGTCTGTCTCCACCTTTCTCAACATGCTCTGTGAGTCAGCTACAATCACGGCATGTGTGTACAGCTGATTCTCAAGCCAGCGAAAGGCAGCAGTGACTGCCTCCACCTCCATTCTCACATTAGACTATGCTAGACTTTGCTGCACTAAGCAACTTCCATTTTCCTTTGCTATGAACCCCCATGCACTTCGTCTGCCCCTCAACACACAGCCATCTGTATAGACAGTCAAATCACTTGGGTGAGAATTGTCATGAATTATTTGTTGAACCTCTGATTCTGCAGCACCAGCAGGCCAGTCCCTGCACTTCCGACCTAAAGTGATAAGAACCCTATACAAGTCTGAAACTTGCTGGGACACTCTGACCCACTCATTTCCTTGCTCAATTTTTATAAAACTTGCACACATGTCTAAGTTTTCTTCAGCTTTCGCAATCCACGACCTTCCTCTTTTCAGTCTGTGCCCTTTAGCTCTCCCCAGGGCTTCACGCAGAAGGTGCTTCTTGTCTGCAGCCACTCTGAGATATGACTTTGTTTGCAGAGCTTTGAGCGATCTGCAATAGTATGCAGGGCAAGTATATATTGCATCTTTTGGACATCCCAGAATTACCCACATTGCTTTATTCTGTATGCGTTCATGTTTCATCATCTGACTCTTTGACATGGTAAGCATTTCAAGACCATAATAAATCCTCGACAGGATAACATGCTGCAACATGATTAGTCCCATGTCCACTGCTGCCATAATCTTGAGAGCATTGAGTCCTTTTTGCCATTTTACCGCAACTACCTCCACGTGATCCCTGAAGGACATACATCTATCAAAAATTATACCCAGGTTTTGATGTTATACTGTTATTAATTGAGAGGCTTGGAACATTAGCTTTTACAATTCTATAGTACAGAGAGCACCAAAAAACACCAGCCTTTTCTAAGTTGATGACAGCAACCACTTCAGCACACCAGTCAGTCAATTTCTCTTCAGTTGCCTGTAGCTCTTGTGCTATCCGTTGTCTATCACTCCCCTGCCTATATACAAGAACATCTCTGCAAATGTCCTTCCAACACCTGGTGCTTCAAGCTCTGCAGTCTTGCTTGTTTACATATTGAAGAGCTCTGGTGAAATTGCATAACCCTGGGGTAGTCCCTGGGCGATATTACATTGTTCTGAGGTCCATGTACCAAGGCGAAGGGCATCCATACGTTCACAAGCCAGGGACAAACCCACTTCTTCATGAGTGCAGAAATACAAATATTATATCTGACTCTATTGTATGTAGGCATCCTCAAGATCAAGTGCTGCCACAACCGTCTCCTGTCTATTCTGGAACCCTCATAAACATCAAAAGCAAAAGTAGCCGCATTTGACCAGGTATCTGTCCGTGGCCGGTTACTACCCAGATCTTTTGGCAGGAGCTCTTCTCCTTCCAAACACATTTGTAGTTTAACAGCAATAATCTTGCCTAGCACCTGCCCAAAACTATTTTGTAGGATGATAATCCTGAAACCGCAGAGTTTGCAATCGTCTTTGCCTGGTTTTGTAAGTGGGATTAGGTAGCTGTGTACTTAAACCTAGCGATCTGAAGCTGTTTTGATGCTCTGGTTGAAGTGAAAAGCAATCTCCCTCAAGAAACCATCGCTCATGCTCTTCTTGTGGGTACTCCTCGCTTGAATTCATTTACTTGTTCTTTTCTTACGCTTTCTAGCTTCTCGACATCCTCTTGTAACTTGAGAGGTGTCTTTCGCACTTTGCTGTAAGTGATTAAATGCTGCTTGCTTTGCTCTTCGTGCCTGTTTACTTCTTGGGTCCGCCATAAAGGCTGCACATAAGCATTCTGCTGCATAACTTCTGTCGAAGGCGTCCAAGGTGGATAATTGTCCTCTGATACTTTAAAGTCTTGCACTTTCTCACAGCCCTGATCTTGCTAGCTTTAGAGATCAAAACTGAGAATGGCATTTGGTCACTCCCATGATCGCCGAAGACACTCCATTTTGTGTCCAGTACTGCTGACTGTATAACAAACGCCAAATTAATAGCCGTGTCTGCCATTCTAATTGGCCTACCATCGTTTTTACAGACTACGTCTGCATCAACCAAAGCCTTCGCTCTATTTTCCCCAGTACTGTCCCATGCTCTGTTCGGCTCGTTGAAATTCCCAAAAATGAGAAGCCTATTACCAGGGACAAGAGATTCAACAGCACCATAAACATCAACTATATTCAAGACTGAACTCCCATTATTTATCTGTATACCCTGAACCTCTAGTGTGCTATGGTTCCACCGGCCTCAGTTCAAGAACCACAAGCGTCAACCCATTCTTCATCAGCAAACTTTGCCCATGTCTTAACTGTCCGGTAGTATTTATATAACTAATGTATTCAGGACAATCATATCTATCTGTGTTTAATTCCCGCAGCAAGATAATATCAAAGTTATAAATCAGTCTTCCCAGTGCAGGTCCTCTTTGCTTGGCACTACGACAATTCGAGTTACCCACTCTAGTATTCTTTAATCCCAAACGATCCGTTTTTCGTATGACTCTCCGGCCTGCTACTCCTTTATTTCTATGCATTCTTCTCTCTCTATTTCCTCGTCTTCTCCTATTACCACATTCTCTGTTGCCACTCCAAGATGTATGAAGCACACAGTGCGTACCCCGTAGCTCCGGTGATGATTCTTTTTATTATTAAAGACAAAATACATAGAAATATGTCCTTCTTTGTAGAGCAGACTTGTCACCGGACGAAATCCCTACGCAAACAATAGAATGTTTATTTCCCTCGACGACCCAATAGATCTCCAAAACACCTACTCTCACGTAGCTATAATCGGTTTCGAAACCAAACATGTGCCATTGAGAAGAGTATGCAAACAGCTTAACTCTTTTGAGCCTAAACAACCATAATTGCAAAACGTTCTATTCCAAAGTCTGTTGTCTTTAGTATAGCAAGTACTGAGTCTTAAGAAATTAAAATAATAAAAGTGTGGACATGCACAAACAAAAGTTAAAGAAACTTGTGTTAAACCAAACGAAAGACAGAAAAAAATTTACCTGATGAGAAATATACAATGCACTTAGAATCATCAGTAAAGCGAACAGCGAGTTACTTGGCAATGAAACAGATTACTACTCCACCGAGACTTGTATGCAAAGTTAGAAAACGAACTAAGAAGACACTGAGAGCCACCACAACTGCAATATCCATCCCTAGAATCATAATTTCACGTGCAGAAAGAACCATCATACATTTCTGTGAAAGTGAAAGCCATGAACATTTCAACGTCTTGAAAAGCCGAACGTTCGTGTTGCGGTAATAACTCCAAAAGTCACTTGGGCATTCTCGTTATCTCATTCTCACGTTCTTGATTCTCCCATCTTTTTTCAACACACCTTTAGGAAACTATGGCAATTATATCCGGCGCGAGTGCTTAGTGTAAACGACACTTTTTTATGATTTCGGGAGTACTGGGTACATAGGGTCGAGTCCATATTTTATACACCAATGGACATTCGGTGGGTGGTATAGTCAACA